TGTGGTTGCGCTATCACCCATTAGTTTCTTTAATTTTTTTTTTTTTTTTAATGTCAGGTGAAATTGATGTAGAATTACCATTGACTTTATTTTCTATCTCCACTTGAGAACGCTTATTGGTGCTGTTCTGAGAGTTCTTGTTATTCCTTGGTGAATCTTTACCCAACAGCCAAGAAATTACTTATTTTATACTTTTATTAATTTCTTTTAACTGAAATAAATGACGTTTATGCATGCGTGGTGGATCTTTTATTTTGAAGGATGCCAACGCCGCTCGCTGGCGACAGATTACCGTAATGCACAGTATTGACAATCGCAGTGCCGGCTCACTTGACTTCGATTTTGCGAGTGCGTGCTGGCTTGACCGCAGTCTTCTTGACCGTCGGAAGCCAGCTCTGGGCCGTCAAGGTTCCATAGTGTAGCGGTTATCACGTCTGCTTTACACGCAGAAGGTCCTGGGTTCGAGCCCCAGTGGAACCAGTGCGGAAATTTTGTTTCGCGCGACATCAGACAAATGTTCGATCACGGCAGCGCAGCGATTAAACGTCATCACTTCACCCTCGCATTCCGCACTAAGCTGCTCTCTATATATGCCGCAATTCGTCGGGTAGGAACAAGTCGGGTTCCATAGTGTAGCGGTTATCACGTCTGCTTTACACGCAGAAGGTCCTGGGTTCGAGCCCCAGTGGAACCACGTCCAATTTTGGGATCTTGTTCTTTAATTTGGAAAGCGACATTGACACCACTCGGCGATTGTATTGTTGGAACTAAATTCGACCCGCACTATAATTTATATGTGCAATAGATGTCACCCACGTGAACGCACTGTTACATTACAAGCAATATTCATGCCTCTCGATCATTGCTAAATAAAAGGTCACCTCTACATTTTGTTATATGAATGGATTTGATTCCTTTCAATGTACAGTAGAGCTATTTATTATAGGTCAGTCAATATTAGGCGTGTAAAAGTATCTGTGCAGTACCCATTGCAGCCGTAGCGCATCGGACACGCACGCCTTGCCAAATGCTGACATGAAAAATCCTTCCGATATGACTATTTTGATGATCGAGATTGAATTTCATTGCTTATTTCTGCCGGGTCATGTTTTCTGTCGCCGCTCCAAAATGGAGATGCCGGGGATTGAACCCGGGACCTCATACATGCGAAGCATGCGCTCTACCACTGAGCTACATCCCCGTGAGCGGTCGTATCCCAGAACATGAAGAGATAAACATAAATACGGGCATAAGGGGAAATTTTGCTTGGAGTTTCGATAACGTTTTGAGAAACTTTGGTTAGCCCGCTCGATGACATCCCATGGCGGCATTTCCTTTTCCTTTTCAAAACCGCCACGTCAGCCGTAACTAACCTGGTAAGCCTTTAGACTAAAATGTTGGTCTAAGATTACAAAAGTAGAAAGTCTTCCCAGGTTTAATCGACTGATGGCTTGTTATTTACCAAATAGGTGATGGACGTGACGAAAGTGAGTGCTCTGCAACGTGCGGTGAGCTTTGCTTACGGAAACTCGCGCCCAACATCACAACCACTTGCTAGCTTGCTCGTCATTGAAGAGTCGCACGGTGATGACGTTCGGGGAGGCAACGGGATGACGAGATGCAGTGTTGGATCCAAATACACGCAACCAGGCTACGTGTTGCACGCCCCCCCCCCCCAAAAAAAAGAAAAACATAAAAAATAAATAAATAAATAAATAAAAAAAGACAGAAGTGCGTGAGTGTTTTCGTCGGTCGAAGAAACTCTCCAGTTGTTTTGTACGTCACCGTGGTTCCCAAAAAGGTTCATTGCTCATTTGAAAACAACATACGTTTCACATGAACTGACAAAATGGACTTAGCATTTCCTCATTCTGATTTAATTTACAACCGGACAGGTTAGTTGAAGTCACTTTTATTGTTTTTCAAAGTGGAATGGAAGTGATTTATTTACAAAAGTTGTGCAAGAGACAGAAAGTAAGGCTGACTGACGACCATATCACATGGCCATGTCACATGACCAATCCGTCATGGCCAATGTCACACCAACATGCTACATGACTGATGTCTCATAAGCACGTCACATCACCACATCGCATGACCAATCTCTCATGACCAAGGTCACGTGACCAGGTCACATGAGCAATTGTCACATGACCGGCGTGACCATGTGACATTGCACAGTCTTGCGGCGTGACTGCCACGACCACGTCAAATGTTGAGAGGCCGACGCCGCATGACCGTGCCACGTGTCAGGACCAACGCGACGTGAGCGAGGTCATACGATCGTGACCCGTGAGCACGTCACCTGACCACATCACGTGACCCTGTTGCACGACGAAACGTTCTGTCCCTGCGGCATGGTCATGAAATATTGTCACGTGACGCACGTGAGGCACGTCACATGAGCATGCCACGACTCGTCGGGTGAGGCTGCGGGATGACCTCGTGACACGGTCATGTGGAGTGCTCCTGCGACCTGTTCATGAGACATCGTCACGTGACGCGCGTTCGCACGTTACGTGACGAGCATGCCGCAGATGTGAGACGTGACCATGCACGTCACGGGACGGCGTTCCCTTCAGCGTCCCGCTGGTCCCTTGCACCGGGCGCTGTCGGGGTCGGGCGCGGGGAGGATCCAGCGGCAGCATTCCGTCAGGCGCATGCTCTTGTCCACGGCGCAGCTGGTGCAGTAGACGATGCCCAGCGCCAACATCACCACCAGGAACACGCACAGCGGGACCAGCAACGCCACCAGCAGCCAGCTCTTGTCATGCTTGCTCTTGTCGCCGCCGCCTTGGCCTTCACCTTCTTGCCCTCCGGCCGTCGGGCCGATTCCCTCGCCGTCGCCCCGCCCCGTCTCGGGCGGCCGCTCCGTCCGGTACCGCCCGGACGAAGGAGCGTCCCATCGGTTCAGGCGCTCGCCGGAGTCTTCGGGGGCGGCCGTCAGCCACTGCGCGTCAAGGCTGGGCCGAGCGGTGCGCGGGCCGTCGTGGCCCCGGTCCGGTAGGTGGGCCGGGTCGGTGAGCTCCGGGGTGCGCGTGGAGTATCCTTCGTCGGCGGGCGCCGGGAGGCAGCCGAGTCCGTCGGCCCGCAGCTCGTAGCCGTCATCGCAGTAACACTGGTAGCCGCCCTGGTAGTTGAGACACTGCTGCTGGCAGGGCGACGCCCCCACGCACTCGTTCACGTCCTGGCACGCGCCGTCGGCCGCCAGCCGGTAGCCGTGGCGACAGGCGCAGACGAAGGAGCCCTCGGTGTTCCGGCAGGCGCCCTCGCAGCTGCCCTCGTCCTCGCACTCGTCCACGTCCACGCATTCGCCCTCGTCGTCGGCTCGATAGCCGTCGAGGCAGGCGCAGTGGAAGGTTCCGGGCACGTTGACGCACGCCTGCGGGCACGGCCGCTGCAGGCACTCGTCCACGTCGGAGCAGCGCCGCCCGTCGGGGCCCATCTGGTACCCGGGAGGACACGTGCAGCGGACTCCCCGAGGCGTCTCCGCGCAGTCGTACTCGCATCCCATGGCCGCGCACGCCGCTTTGACGCGCGGCGGCACGCTGGGCTCGGCGGCGGTAACGGCGCCGTCTGAAGAGAAAAGCTCCGGAGGGTCGGTGGGGCCCATGGGGTCCGGCTCGCAGTTGTAGCCGTCCTCGGCGAGGGCGTATCCCTCCGAGCAGTAGCAGTAGTAGTGCGAGTCGGTGTTCTGACAGTGCTGCTGGCACCCGTGGTCGCCGCCGCCGCACGGGTCCCGGTCGGGCGGCCCGCATAGGGGGGCGTCCCGGGACCAGCCCACCGAGCCGTCGTCTCGCTGCGCGCACAGCACCGTCTGCTCGCCGTCGGCGTCGACCTCGGCCGGACACGTGAGGGCGGCCGTCGAGCCCAACGGCACGTGGCTCAGAACCCGGCTGATCAGCTGGAAGGGTGTGGAGTACACGGCCGGGCCCTGCCCCTCGTCCTCCAGGGGCGGGCACATGCCCCTGGAGGGGTACTGGCACACAAAGCCGTCCAGCGCCAGCCCGCACGAGCCGTCCAGCCACTTGAAGTTGCCGGCGGCGTCTTCGGCGTTGAGGCGGGC